ATAGTATTCCATTGTGTATATAAACCACAATTTCTTTATCCATAGAAATTTTATTTTCTAATAACCAAATCTCAAGTTGATTTGGCAATATATTTTGTTTTTGATGAAACTACTGCTTACATTTAATTTAAATGTATTATTGGCCTATTTAAGTGACAATGCCAGATTCAGGCAGTGTGGCTCTGGAATTTTTTTTTTTTTTAATCACTACACTACAAGAGTACTCTAAGCAAAAGGAAAAATACATTCTCAGGTACAAAGGCAGGAGATTATAAGCTATGTTTAGTAAGCAGTTCAGTTTTTAACAGAACACATTGCATGTAAGAGAATTAATAGGGAGGGGCAGAAAATTAGATGGGTGTAATATTCTAAAGGATCTTGGTTGCCAGGCTTACGATGAACCTAACATATGTCAAATTTACAGGTAAAAGTACAATAAATAACAAATAAATAACACTGCACAGTTTGTAAAAAGGCATCTTGCTTTAGTTTTTCCAATGTGATCTGTTTTTGTCAAACTTTAAAGTTTTTAATAGTTTAATTATTCTTAATTTGTTAAACTTCTAAAAAAATCTAGTAGAATCTTCATTTCCCTTGAATTTAGAATATTTTTTCCAAAAATTCATATCATTGTTTTTCTCTTTTGATACTTTGAACTATTTAGTTATTCACAAAGTACTAGTGATTCCTTTACATCTCAAAATATAATAACAAGCTTGTCTTGATTTATTATTTCGTGTTTGCAGGTTATTATTACAGTTGCTATGGTAAAAATTATTTTTGCTTAAGGGCCAATTTCATTATGCTATCTCTACTCCAATTTAGCTACTTGTGAATCTATGCCATTTTATGCTAGCATAATTTGGATTTAAGAAGTCTAACTCCTAATATGCTTTGGATACATAGAGTGTTACTATCAATTATTGTGAATGATTTGTTGTATACTCGAACATGCATCCCAAGAAGTGGCATCCCCTTTAAAGCAATCACGTTGGGAGTCTATCCACTTGCTGTTGGTATTGCTCAAATTACTTTTGAAAATGCTCTTTCATGATCGCCTTGAGGTCTGTAGCTTACTTATTCTTTTGAACCTCCTCAAAGTACCAAATCTTCATATTTTGAAAGTAGATGTGATACCTAGATACATCTAGAAATCACTTGGAGACAAATCTGATTTTTAATCATAAGGATGCCTATTTTCTTAGTAATACATATGAAGGCAATCCCAAAATATTTTGAGCACTGATAGCATAATTTACATCAGCGTATAACCTTCCAAGGTGACTACTTTGAAGTACAACATTCGTATGAATTTAATCATGCTTCATTCAGTATTCATAAACTACTGACTATATGCCAGCTCCAGTTTTCAAGACTCTCGGCTTACAGGTATGGCTTCCCACTGCCCACACTGCCCTGCCTCTCACCAGATGAGAACAAGGCCAGAACTTCTTCCCAACTGGTAGGGATTTAAAATAAATCTGCTTTCCCTAAATCCTGTATCCACCATACCCACTGAATGACAGCGTTGCAGCAGGTAGCTGCATAGAGTGACGCAAGAAAGCCTTGGATTCAATGTCTGGTTGTCTTTTCCAGCTGTGATGTTGAACCCTGCCATATTCTGAACCTTTATCCCTAACTGCCAACTCTCCAATTATTCTCAAGAACCAGATCCTGCCTCCTATACCTCGACCTATGGACCAGGGTTCTGCTTCATCTATATAGACCTCCCTCTAACCATGCTTTTCAACCTTTCTGCCTTGAAACATTGCTCATGTCCCCAGACTCCTTCTGTCATGTCCCTCCCAAGAAGATGAAAATCTATGAAGAGCAGTTCTGATTGCTACCTCAGATACTATATTTTGGACTTCTGAATACACTTCTTCTGCATTAGCTTGGCTGGTTCCAGTTTATTCCCCTATCACCAGCTCACCATTGAGCTCTTACAAGCATCATCATTAAGTATCTGTGTGTGCTGGCACCATGTGCCAAACAATAATAATTTTATACAGCTTTTCACATTTTAGCAAACTCTTTCACCTACATTGTATAATAAGGCCATCACAAGTTTGTAAGGTAGGAGATAGCGGAATAATAAAAGTTTCTATTATATTTGTTTTTTTTTTTAAAGTCTCATTGTGCAATCTCAACTCAAAATACTGTTCATATCATTGCATCTGATATCTGGATCCATTTCCCCTTTTGCTGTCAAAGGTAGAAAATGTGTCAATAAACTTTTTTGCTTTTAGTGTTCAGCAAATATTTAATGACACATAATCAACTAGAACTTTTGAAATATAAACAGGAGCCTCTTTGTTTAATTTAATATGTGTCAATTATTCATTTCCATAGCAGACTACCAGACCATACTGTTAGAAGATTGCTTTCTCACCACTTATTTTACCTTTTGCAATTTAATGAGTTTCCAATGTATGAGTTTTATCATTAACTTATTTAACATCATTATTAGAAGTGATATTCATGTCCAGCAAAATTAAGTTTTTAAAGGACCAACAATAGCTCACATATGTTGAGTGCTTACTATGTGCCAGGTACTGTTCCAAGCTCTTTTACATGTATTGAGCTACGTAATTCTTGTAACAACCCTGTGAGGTAGCAGTATTATTATTCCTATTTTATAGGTAAGGAAAAATGGGGTTAAATGACATGCCAGTGTCACAGAGCAGGGATGTAAATGATGGAAATCTAGGCAGCATGACACCAGAGACCTTACTCTTAACCACTATGATATACTGCCCCTATGGTAGATTTAACATTTCTTTCATACCCTTGACTTCTTCAATAAGCATTTAGATCAGTTTTATATTTAAAAAAGAAAGTCAAAATAATAGTAAAACATAAAACAGAAGGTTTGTAAAACACCATCTGCATGCAGATTGATTTTGATAGGTGATTGTACCAACACACATTTGAAAATCCCTTTGTATTACTGTTCTAGGCACAATGCAGAAATTTTAGTGGATCGTTTAGTAACAGCACTAAAGAAGTGTTGCCAGTGAATTGATTTTATAAAATAACATTTAAAAATATTAGCAGAGGTGTAGAAAAGATTCCTATTACATTTCTGTTCAAATCATTAGCAATAGTCTTTATTCAGGTTATTCATTAAAGTCTGTGACACTTTCAAGATTTTTAAGGACTCTGAATTCCTACCCCAAATGTAACTGTAAGGACTATTTAAAAGACTGATGGTTGGTAGGATCGTAGGTAGTTGAGATTTTCCTATTTATGCTTTTAATGTATTATTTCCTCAAATTTCCATGATAAACATATACAGTGTCACTATTACAATCATAAAAACAGTTCATTTATTTTGTGTGAACTTTTCACTAAAGTCAATGAATCAACCCTCTAGAATTCTCAAATGGCAATATAATGCTAGGCATCATCAAGGGTTGATTAAAAATTTAATCTTCATGTCTTCAATGAAATAGAAAACCAAAATATCTCTCTCTGATTATATTCTTCCTCAGAATATGGAACCTGAAAATACGGAGTCTGAAAATACAGAAACTGAAAATATGGAAACTGAAAACATGGAATCTGAAAACATGGAAATTGAAACCATTTCTTCAGTTTCAGCCCTGCAAGCTCTCTCTAAGCTACTTTATCCTGAAGAGGATGATTTTGAGGCTGGACAGGTGGTCGTATACTTACAGATGAATCAATTCTGTTCATGCTAAGTTGTTAAACTGTATTTGAACAACTCGTTTCAACCTTTGCTATGGGAGCAAGGCTGTGTCATCTGATACATTCACAGGAGGCTGTAGGACTGATTATTCATGAGAGTATAACCTCTAGTACATTTCTAGCAAACATAATTATATTTTTTTCTAAACTACCTGAACAGTGAATAGGAAGATAGTTCTGTAACTATGGTAGCAATAGCCACATTTTAAAATGTTTGTCATTTATATTTATGGCCAAAGAATGCTTGACAACCATTGAAATGAGTGGTAGCTAGGACTTTTAAGCCTCTAGACAGTATGTGTATAAACAATAATTTCATCTAGACACTATTAATTAGGCCCCCATAATCCAGTTTCCTTGATTTTTTAAAATTTGTCTACACATGAAAACAGAACAGAAAATAATTTGGGCCAAATAATGGGGCAAACTAGCTTTAGCCTACTAAAACTGACTTGTGTGATACATGTTCAGATAGAGCTGTGGAATCTAATTTGTTGTACAATATTTGGGATCAGGACAGGTAACCTCAGGGAGGCTTACAGCAGCAATATGGGCTTCATTTTGTGGAAGGAGAGTTCCAGAAACTGACCGGCCACTCCACAGTCATTGGCGGTATTCCCAGAATAATCAAAATACTTTTATGTAACCCCTTGCTCTCCATTCTCCTACTCCTTAGGTATCAGCAAATCTTGGCTGTCAGACTGCTTATGTGAAGGCAAATAAAATTGGGGGCAGAAACCTCACACTATAGCAGAATATGTCAATCCGCTTTAAATTATTTTAGTGAAGTTGTTATTATGACCAGTTTGCCACAAATAAACCATCTTCAGCGAGCAGGCATATCAATTTGCTCCTCCCCAAATTCTTTTCTTCTATTGTGTGGAAAAACAAGTATAATCTGAATATGCAGCAAATTTGGTGGCTCAGATCAACACTGGATTGATCTTGCACCATCTGGGAAGAATTAGAGGGAATGTGCAGAATCAAATAAAGACTAAGACATGCAATGAAAATAAAATGTGTAGATGGTAACTGAATCAACTTGGAGCCAGGGTTAGAAACCAAGAAGCTTTGGTCAGGCAGGAGTTACTAGGGGCCAAACAAAAATCAGCACAATAATAATAGCATTGAATACATACAACAAATAAAACATTGGAGAAAAATTTAGGAGCAATGTATCAGTGAAGTTAGGAGGGCAGGTTCATTTTTGCTGCCTGAAGTTGAAATAGAATAATGATACAGCCTGCAAAGGGTAAGGGTAGGGTTATGTCATATACAGAAAATATGTTAAATATCTGAGAAACAGCAATCTCGAATAAAGGCAAGTGAAACTTGTAACTGGAACAGATTCAGAGATAAAGATTCACCCTGGTTACAAAGCCTGTTCTCTTTGGCGTTTACGTATGGGGATGTTTACTTGCATCTAGAGGTGATTCTAGGAGAACGATGAGTGATTAGGAGAATAGAGACACTAGGATAATTTTACCAAATTGTACAATTCATAGAAGAAAATTACTGTAATAATGTATGATTCTGTATATCTAGGTTATAAACAATTTTGAGGTAATTGGTCATTCAGACACCCCTGTACAGCTATCATTAGAGGATATAGAATTGGAGTATCAGAACAGTGGGAGAATAATTAATGTTTCTAATGAACTATTAAATTTTCCAGGAGAAAAATGGTTTTTCATTTTTTAACATGTATGAATCTTGATAACTGTGGAATGATTACAAGAGTGATGTGGTTTTGAAAATACTCTCTCTGAAAACAGCATTAGAACTGTTGCATACACGTTGGTTTATTTACAGTCCCCATCATGCATTAAGAATCTAGGAGATTGGGAAGAGACTGCTTTTGAAACTCAAAAGGGGATCTTAAGGCCTGTGGGAAATAATGCTCACCACTCCACAGACATTGTAAAAAAGTTGTTCTAACTCTCTTACATATTGCAAAGTGGCATGAATTGCAATGATAAATTACTCAGATAATTGGATGTGGATCCATGGTAAAAGCTGAAATGATTATTTTTATAGAGAACATTTGCAAGAGGGTTTTTAATGTTTTTATTATCCTGGTTCATCTTTTCACTTGAAATTTTTGTTTTTAATCATTTATTTTCATTAAGTTAATAAACTGCAATTCCCTCTCTGTTGTGATATACTGATTGAATCATCACTGTGCATGGAGAGCATACTAATTTTTTTCAGGAATGTTCGAGTTTTTATTTGTATGGATTTTAATTTTCGGTGGAAGGAGTCACTCAACAAAACAAGAGGTCCTCATGTTCCAAGAAATGCTTTACTCTGATTGACTATTAGTATTCTAGTGATTAATAACTTAAGAAAAGCACCACAAGTTTATATGACCTTAGTGATTAAAAAGAAAAAAAAAACATACAAAATACGGTCTTGGGATTTTCACATAAAAATGCCTGTAACACTTTAACCGCAGACATAGCACTTTTGAAGCACCTTTTGGAAAAGAATGGTTACTGACTCAGAAACCATTGAGATGTTACAGATTAGTTTCTGATTTATAGCTGTTGGAATAGTTTAGTATAATAAAGACACAGGTGAGCTTTGCCACTGGCTTTCAAGGACAGACACTATTCCTTTTGCCCAAATAGGACATCGTAACTCTTCTACATGTCTGAAGTCTTGGGAGATAGGGGCAGGGGCCTGAGAGAAGAGAGCTAGAGATGGTAGTTTGCCAGGATGCAAGGAGATAAGACTTTTTGACTGCCAGCAATGGAGTAAATTGGAGCTGCGGAATCTGGCATCAGCAAGAACAATCAGTAAAATACTGGGGTTTTCTTGAGATATCTAAAGACCCCTGAGAAAGACCAATGAGGCAGTTGCTGCTATGCTGAAGGTGTAATATGTGTTATACTTCAGTGAAAAAAGGAAAATTGTTCTTGTACTGGGGAGTAGAGTAGCAGCCCTGTGGGGGTATGTTTCCTTGCACAAAGGATGGCAAAATCAACTCGTAAGATGACTGAAGTGGTTTAGCATGTATTTGACGATATTAATTGGGGGTTGCTGTTTAAATCCATTAGTTCAGTGTCATGAAGTGGTATGATGAGGAAGGGTTTCATACCCACAGTGGAAAAGAAGTAAAATCTGTTAACAGGAGTTTTGAATGAGTTCTTTGATATGTATATACTTAAGACCCTAGTTAGTGGTTTGTTTTTGTTTCTATAAAACTTTCCCATCTGTTTCCATCTTCTACCTATGACCAGATACTGCCCAAACCCAAAATTGTCGATGCTTTTACACTAATACTTTGTTCTGACCTTCAAAGAGATGAATGTGGCTCATCCCCCTATCCACAGGGATACATGATTCACTGGGCTGGAACTGGGGATTTAGTCTGATCAAAGACTGCCTTAGGGTCTATTAAACTAAATACTTTTTGAAAGGACAAAGAAAACACATTCTAAATAATACTTGACATCTGTCTCTCTGTTGTATAACAATGATGCTTAATTAAATGAGAAGCACTATGAAATTTGAGATGGAAAACTTACCAACTTTCAAGTATTATCGGTCACGTAAGTTGAACAAGTAGTAATTACAGAATGTTGGGCTTTTTTTTCTTCTTTCCCAGCCAAATTGTTCATCTGCTTTTGGAGCCATGGGTCCTGGGAATATTGGACCACCAAGAATAGAAGAACTCAAAGGTAAGTTATTTAACAAAGCATATAGATCACTATAATTGGTATAATCTTTTCTTTGGGAGCAAAATTGTAGGGAGAGTAATATTAACACTAGGATTTGTCAGAGATGAACTCAAATAATTGTGGAAGTGATGAACAGCCATTTACATATAAGATGATGTTTTTACTCTACTATTGTAGGTAAGTCATTTTTCTACTAATGGAAATTAATTCGCCTTAAATTATTCACATTCATTTTTTGGCATATTTCCCGAGATGTTAAACCAAGAAAGTCATGTGTGGTTAAATAACTTTTTTATCATTTAGGGTCTAGTTACCAAGTTGCTTAGCTTCTTCACTTTCTACCCTGCTATATCTGCTATATTCTGGCAATTTCACAGGATTCATTAATTCATTCAACAAATATTTATCGAAAGCCTGTTATATGCCAAGCATTATGATCATCTCTGGGACTATGATGAAGATCAAAACAGAAAGGTCTCTGCCCCAATTGAGCTTATAGTATTTTGGAGAGCACAATAAAACAAATAACGACACAATTTGATCTTACACCAAAATACTTATAAATTAAAGTCCATTTATATATGATGGGCTTTAATTATACATTAAATAGGGCAACTGATATAGTTATTTAATATATAATTAAATATATTAAGTATATAATGAAATATATTTATATTTATAATATATATTCATACTTATATAATATATTTAATTATAATACATAATATACAATACATAATTAAATATATTTAATTAAAATATATATTTATAATTAAAAAATTATACATATATAAATATAATACCTATAGTTATACATATATAAATATAATACATAATACATAATTAAATATATTTAATTATAATATATATTTAATTACATATTAACTGGGTGACTTATATAGTCACAGGTCCAATAAACCAGAATAAATATTTCCGGGGATGTTTTCCCAGCATTTTGGCCTATACATTTTCATATAGTTTAACATTTTACACATCTTCGAAAATATAGAAGGCTCTAATTCTGTCATGATGACAGTTGCCAGAGTTGGATAGGGAAAGGAAAAGAAGTTCCTTCATCAATTTAGCTGATTGTAAAAGATTTCATTGGGAAAAATGTTTAAAATAATGGCTCAAATGAAGTCTGAGAGAATGATTTTAAAATTTCAGTTATTAGACTCTACATACTGAAGAATCTATTTACCTAGTTCAAGAGATGTTGGGGGGCACCTGGGTGGTGCCTGGGTGGCTCAGCCGGTCGAGCGTCTGACTTGGGCTCAGGTCATGATCTCGTGATTTGTGAGTTGGAGCCCCACGTCGGTCTCTGTGCTGACAGCTCAGAGCCTGGAGCCTGCTTCAGATTCTGTGTCTCCATCTCTCTCGGCCCATCCCCTGCTTACACTCTATTTATCTCTCTCAAAAATAAATAAATGTTACCAAAAAAATTTTTTTAAAGAGATGTTGGAAGACTAGTTCAAATTTTAATGTATTTCTATGCTGCCGGTATTTCTGACATAATGTCTAATAACCTCTAAATTCTGAGAACAATGAGTCATTTGTAACATATTTTATATAAATCTGTAATTAGGCTTCACAAAGCCCATGCTAGATAGAGGCAGATAATTTGAAAAGAGTGGCAGTATTGAAAACCTAGTAATCAAGTGCATTTCTGGGGATGCTTAAAAGGAGAACTCGAAATAATGTTCTGCACCTAATGTTGGTCTGCATTTGCTGCCCCAGTAGTTGGAACAAATGTAAGCTGAGTTTTTGCATGCCTCGTTTACTTTTAAACATTTAAAGATGACATGTAGAAACCCAGGTACATGCTCAGTCCTACATAAAGGACAAGTGATAGAGATTTTCTTTGAGGCTCCCATCTGCCTGAGGAAAATACTGGATTAAAAAATGACCATTGTATCCACTGTTTTCAATTTCCTTAACCAACAGTATTTTTAAAGAATTATGTCATGCTTGCATGGAAAAGGTATCAAAGAACTTCTATATAGTAATACACAATGCAAGATAAGACATTTCTACACAAATCAGATTGATTGTATGTTTGATTTGTTCTTTTACATAAATATTTTACATGATCCTAGTATTTCTATGTATATCTATGTTCTATATGTTTCATATAAGATGTTACTTCATATATTGAGTATATATGCTATATGCATATACATATGTGCACACACACAGAGGCTGGAAAGATATACATCAGAATGCTCTCATTGATTATCTTGGGTGGTTGGATTACAGATTATTTATTTTCTTCCTTTTGCTTATATGTTGTTTCTAAATTTTCTCAATTATTATTATAATTTTACGACATATTGGTTGTGTATTGATTCAAAAACGTCAAGTTTTTACAAATTAAGCTTGTTTGACCAAAAAACAAGCTAGTGGTAACAAATAGAAAATGTTTGACTTTGACGATCCCAAACTGTGTGTGAAGAACGGGAGCAATTTTGAGGGGGAAAACAGACAACAGCTTCAGCTTTATCTTCCCTTTTTTTCACAGTCATCCCTCAAAACAGTGATGAAAATGTCGAGGATATCTGGAATCCAGAGGAAGTTCCAGAGGGAGCAGAGCACCATGACACGTGGGATGTTAGAGAAATACCAGAGTAAGTCAAATGAAGGCGGGAATGTGTTTGGGGCTGAAGTTCGATGTGTCATCCGATACCATTCTATTTTTGACAGGATTCATAAAGTAACTTCTACCACATGAAATAGAAGACTGCAGTGACACACAGAAGCCATGTGTAATTGATAATTTTTTTTCCTTGTGGAGCAGAAACAAAGTAAAACATAACACCTCCCTTTAGTTATTATCTAACAAAAAATGAAAAATAGTCATTTCCATTACAAAATTGTATTCAGTGTCAGTAGTATAATGTGGAACTAACACTGGGAAAGAAAAGCCCATTAAATTACAAGCATTCATACAAACTAAATTATTATACCATGTTTATGTGTCAAAGACCTGCGTTTAATTACTCAATATTCAATTTCGGTAAAAGGCTATGTTCTCCCTCCGATTATCTATTATTACCTGGACCTGTTTACTAGTTATTTTAAGATTCTGTTTAATATATTTTGCAAGCAGGATTGAAGCCTCACCTTGTAGCTTTTTCATTAGGAACTGTGAATATGAATTTTAAATATGGAATTTAGGATTATTAACATAAAAAGTTCCTTCACTTTGATAAAATAAATCACCCACAATTTCAAGGAACTGAAAGTGTGTTCACATTCATAATTGAAACTAATGGTTAAATACACTAAGCTTTAAATATATGTATTTTTTTATATTTTAGTTAGTTAACATACAGAGCAATATTGGTTTCAGAAGTAGAATTCAGTGATTCATCACTTACATACAACATCCGGGGCTTTAAAATAAAATCTTGATTGAGTATTTAGAATAGCTTGAAAAACAAAGGCAGTACTTACAAAATTATAATGTACTTTATAAATTCTTGAAGACTTCTATGGTAAGTGATCTGACAACTTTTCTAATTCTGACTATAAAATTGTGTCCAATGTTAGAAAAAAAAAACCTTATGCATCTATCTTCTACTTCCATTCTGAAAATAGAAACAGTAGGAGACTGCAGATAATTAACTGGAAAAAAGTATCCAACTATCGCATAAACAATGTAAAAAAAACCCTATAAACCTCATTAAAAAAAGATCAAAGGGGATTTTAAAACATTTCTGTGTGCATCTTAAAAACGAAGAGAGTAAATCTCAGGTTATATTTATACAGTGCCCACACATCCGTATAAAAGGTAAGAAGTAAGCCATTCATTTGTCATACTGTCTAATGAATGTCAAACATCCATATGTGGCAAGTTCCAAATTTGAGTAAATTTTCACTTCTCATCTTGATGTTTGATGTTCTGTAGAAATAACATCCATGAAAGCTTTAAATGAATAAGAACTCCAGTCAGGGTATGAAGAAAATTGCTTTATAAAATTTTTTAATCTTATTTTCCATTTTATGCAAGTACATTTCAAAATGTCCCAATGGGTAAAGAAGAAAATGGGTAAAGAAAGTGAGCAAGCAGCTCACAAAAAAGAATCATGAGTGGCCACATGCAAAGTAAGATGGGCCTGAGCTGAGTCACTGGCCTTGGGTAGAAATGTGAGGATCTTTATTTGAGAGAGTCTTAAAGGAATATATGGTATTCAATTAGATATAATGAATGAGAGGAAAGCCTCAGAAATGATGCTGAGGGTACCAACTAGGGTGACCAGGTGAATAGTGAGGCTATTGACTGTGATTGGGAACGAAGGGAGAGGGGAAACACTGAGTTTGGTTTTGGATGTGTGGACTGTAAGGTGCCTTTGGGACATCCAGGCAAACGTAGACAGTTGGAAAATTGCGTCTGGAGATGAGGAGAAAGCAGCAGCTAGAGCAAATCCATTTGGTAGTCATGGAGTGTGGATCGATACCCTTCTGTTTTGTTTTAACCTGGCTTCACCTTTGTAAATATAAGGTAAATGTTATAGTTATAGTCTATTAAGAAAAAAGTGCCCCATATCAAATAGCTACTTATTGCTAGCCCTGTTCAAACTCAAAGAAACCCCTTTTCCATTCTTGGGGATTTCTATTTGCAAGTGGTCAGAAGTTCAACATAATCCTTTAGTCTTCCTATCCAGAGATTTACCATTTCTTCATAAGGGTAGAATTAAATGGAAAAGATCATTTGTAAACATTTGCTTACTACATTCCACCTAAAAAGATAGGGTCCATTGTGGCTGGGTGATTCTAGAAACCATCCTGTCCCTAGGGGCCCTAATTTGGGGACAAAGAAAGATTTGTGAATTGTCATGGGTGAGGTGAAATGTCAGGAAAATCTTTCACCGGGCTAAGAACTCTGTAGGCCTAGGGGCACCTGGGTGGCTCAGTTGGTTAAGTGTCCAACTTCAGCTCAGGACATGATCTCGCAGTTCGTGAGTTCAAGCCCCATGACAGGCTCAGTGCTGACAGCTCAGAGTCTGGAGCCTGCTTCGGATTC